TGCCACTGTTGGTGGAAATGTAGACTGGTGCAGTCATTATGAAAATCAGAATAGAGATTCCTCAAAACATTAGGATTTGAAGTTCCATTCAATCCAGCTATTCCTCTCCTGGGTATTTTCCCAGAAAAATTGAAAAGTTCATATCACAATGATATATGTACACCCATATTTATAGCAGCACAATTTGTAATAGGTAACTCTTGGAAACAACCAAAATGTCCATCAACTGCAGAATGGATGAAAAGATGTAGTATTTTTATATAATGGAATATTACCCAGCTATAAAAGGATGATCTTGAGTCTTCTATAGGTAAGTGGAGGCAACTTGAAACTATCATAATTACAATAAGACAGACTCATATTTAAAAATAACACATTGTATCTGTAGTGTAAAAATAATAAAAACTGAAGGAGTAATGCGATCTGAAATGTGTAATAGATATTATAAAAATGATAGGGAAGAAAAATGCTCTAAAGGATATAACTGTATATGTTTAAGTGTGTAAAACAGATAACCATACTACTAAGTTTTGTTGGTTTATTGAACAGAGTGGTTTGTTCTGTTACTGTTTGATTGTCTATCCACTTTTTATGATTTGATTTGTAACTTCAACAACTATTTTTAAGATGACAATATATAATTCATCCACTAGTGATTTCTTAGTGTTATTTTTTGAAATTCTGTATTATTTCTACAGTTTTCCATTTTGCCTTTTTCCCCTCTAAATAAAAAATAAATTATACACAGAGAGAAAACAGAAAATGATTAGCATGTGGTTAAATATATAATGTCTTTTCATGATGGAAAATTTTTACGTGAATGTGCACACCCAAAATTTTAACATTATAGTATGAGGTGCTAAATGGTTGAGGAAAAACGTGTTAAAGCATTAATAAAGTCTAGAATGTATATAATTTTAATTAAATTGTATCTTTTTTCAATGATTTTATTGTTTAACTACCATTTTTACTGGGCTTGTTAAGTGCAGTGGAGCAGGGACATTGGATGGTTAGGCTCTTCATGGTGAAACTGTTGATGATAATTAAACTCTTGAAAAACACTAGAGAAAAATGTTGAATTACATATTAGGGAGTAGCCATTTTAGTAACTGTGAACTTTTAATCATAGATTATAGACACGACTTCATCTGAAGACAATGGAAAATCATTTTGAGACCAAATAAAAATGATGCATCCAGGAAATATGCACTTTAGGATTAAAAGACAAATAGACAACTCTTCTAAATGTAAAGAATATGCACCTGGCAAAATGGCACTATAGGAGATCCTAACAGAATTTTTTTGGGCTAAAAGGAATTGTAAAAAGAATTAAGATCTCTAAGAATATATAAAATAACTAAATTTTATAAAATTCTGAATAAATACAAAAACCTACATTTTTGGTATAACTGTATAATGACAATACATAAAACCCTGTTTTGAAGTTTATAATGTATCTAGAGAGCAATATGGTCCATATACTTGTGAGGTCTCTATACTTTATATTAAGTGATGCTCCACTAGCTGATTTAGTTTGTGAAAATTTAAGCGTGTACATTTACCCCTAGATGAAGCATTTAAAAATAATACAAATTGGGATAGCAAAAATTTCAAATAATTTCTTAAAACATTTATAAAACTAATCTCAACAAAGTTATTTTTTGATACTTGGGACCAAACTCACGACCTTGCACTTGCAAGGCAGGCACTCGCCGCTGAGCTAAATCCCTGGCATAACAAAATTTTGAATAGTTCAAACTGAGATAATTTTTTGTATTATTTTATATATAGTAGATACATTATGGTTATAAAGTATCATAACTATAAACTATTAATTTTCTTATTCATATGTAAAGGAAATGCTTTGTACTACATCACTTTAACAGATGAAAGACTAAAATTATGCTTAGTAAAGTATTGAAAAGCATTAGATCTGTAATTTGGAAACTCAAAAAAATAATAAAAATGAATTATTTATGTTTTATTCAATTATTCAGAAATGTCTTGACCTCTTGCTCTATGTCTGTTTCATGGTGAATAAATATTTGGTAATCTACTCAGTGGATATCATTATAGAACAATGTTCTATTATTATTGAGATATTATGCAGTTTTACCATGTCATCTACACAGAATAAGTTAAATTACTCTCTTACTAGGAAACCAGTGAAAAAATTTTTTTTGATTTTTTATGCTGTTGCATAATATCACAGAAAGTCTTTAAAAATTTTGTGTAAGATTTTTTTGTTCTCAAAATGCTATTTGCAGAGTTTTTGCATATTTTAGAGTACTGGGGAGGATACTGTTGTCATGCATTATTCATTACCTATTGTCTTTGACTGCTTTTGTACTACAATCACACAGTAGAGGAGGTATGATAAGGTGTTTATTCCCTTTGAATATACTTTTTAGAATGTTTTCTCCTTTTGATTTTAGCAGTTGATGGGTAAATTGTACTGTGATTCTCATTCTTTAAAACAATCCAAGGTTTTCAAAATCTTTTGACACCATTTTCCCCAGAACACTGAAATCACACATGGTGGCTTGACTATCTACTTTTGTTAGTCTTTGTGTTATTTTGATAGCCACCATTTTTTCTTTTAGTGCTCCTATTATTACTTATTTTAAGTATTTTCTTCTCATAACAGTATAATGTATTTACAGTAGAAGTAGGAAATGAGTCATTAAAAAGGTTGCAATTCATGTTAAATGAAATATTTCTCCTTGTACATTATAAATATAAAAGAATCGAGAATTTTTCACCAAATTGTTTTGAATAACAAAACAAATCCTCCAGAGAACATTTTTAACTTTCCAAAGGTCTGATAGATTTACTAATTAAAATTTCTTGTGTACTTTATTTTTCTTTCTCCATTACACCACATAATATTTAACTGTTGAGAAAGACCTGTTATCTCTGGTGAATATCTTGTGGAAGGATTGGCCATTGCTTTGCTTTCCCATCCCAGGAGAGAATTTCTCTTAGGACTCCACCCAAGTCTATTTGGCAGTTTAATCAATGATACAGTACAGTAAACTGATGAATAAGAAAAAGACATAAGCTACCCTTTTTTTCGTATTTGTATGTGGTAGATATTTGAGTCAGGAGCTGAACATTGGAAAATGGTAATCTGCATTGCAGAAAAAAATTCTTGTTAAACAAAGGTTTGCTCCTTTTCATGTTTCTGTTTCCTCAAGAATGTCCTTGAATCACATATCTTATGATAGTGTTTACTAAGATGTAAAATAAGCATTTCTGATAGTGCTTCATGCCCCTTTCTTTTAGATGATTTTAATTGTCTTGCTTAAAGTGTTTCTGAAATTTCTATTAAAACCAGGGAATTACTAGTGTAGAATATGACTTTAAGGAAACTTTGATGATTTGTAGTTTAATACGCTCTGCTAGGAGTTATTTTCATCATGCTTCTTGTTTTCTGAAATCAATTGGTATTTCTGCTAGTATTTAATTATTTTCAGGAAGGTTGATTGTTGTGCCTGGACCAATTTTGCTCTACTATACTACTGAAGTATATTTCTGAAGATCAACATATCAGAAAGGATTTATCCAGATTAAAGTGTAAAGGTCCAAACTGTCTAGATAATGATAACAAGAAAGAAATATATCAGAGGTATTTCATAATTACTTATTTATAATTTCATAATTATACATTTATAATTTAATCAATTCATTATATGATTTACAAATATAATATGTAACTATGAATTTATGTCACAGATGATATTTATATAGTATTTATGATTATATTCTAAATTACAAAAGACATTTTCACAGTACCTAAGTTATTGATTTCATCGTTGGACAATTTTGTTCACAATCTTTGGTAGATTATTGAAGAATAAATAGTGTGTTGCTCAATTCCATGGCTCTAAGCAAGTCATTAAAAAGTTATTTTGTGTTTTGGTTTCCTCATGAAATTAGAATAAAAATTTATTGACATCTCTATTGCCTCTCTTGTTTTTAAGAATATTTTGTAGCTATAGTAGCATGAGTTTAACATGTATTAGAGACTTTCTTAAATGCATATTTACTGTTTTTATTATTTGTATATTCAATTCTTTAAAAAATGTCCATGTGTCTTCTCTTTCAATAATCTTATATGTTTACATTTATAATTAGTTTTTTTTTTCTAAAAAGACAAAGTATCTCTGATGAAAAACATAAATGTCTTCACTTGGATTCTTATGCTTAGAAAGAATGAAAGAGATAAAAGCATGACATAAGGAAAGAAGAGAGGAAAGAAACAATGATGACAAATCTTTAGAAAATTTAAGTAAACATTACTACTGTTTCTAGCCAATTAATTTCTCCCCTAAAATTTGTGTTCTTATAGGGACAAAAATAATTGAAGAAATAACACAGATTAAGCTTCAAAAGATGATACTTTTGTCATGTATGATCAAAGTCTTCTAATATAAGAATTTCATAATGTCATATGTTATTTTTCTATAGAAAATTAAAGCTTAGCTAGCCATTAAAATAAAATGAAATGTTAATTGAAATTAATTCTTATGTTCTGAAATACATTATATATTCAACAGAGTATATCTTTAGAAGTAGATTATATCTGTGAGAAACATCTGTCATTAAGGGAGGTATAGAAATAGATTGATAATAAAATCAAGAAAATAAAAAACAAAAATAAAAACAAATAATACCACCCACACAAAAAACCCAGAAGCTTTCGTTTCCAGTCATTTTTCTGTAATTTTCATTTCATTAAAGCAGTTAAGAGTGTCAATCAGTATTATTTGAAGATAAGTGTATCTGAAAAGGTTTACCAAGCAGATTGAATTATGAAGTAAAAAGGCTTTTTAAGAAAGTTAATTTCATTTTTATTTTTAGTAATGTCATAAAATATTGAAAACAATATAAGTTTTCTTCATGCTAGTTCATCAATTGTTTTTACTAAAATAAGCACACTAATCTGATCAAGCATTTGTTTCATCTTTACTATTGCTGCAGTTCTACTTATCTCACTTATGAAGAGTGAGCTGAATACAAATTACTCAGAGGTGACTGAGTTTATTCTTTTGGAATTTAGAACCTCTCAACAGCTACAGATCCTTTTGTTCTTATTGTTCTTGGTAATTTACATGGTCATTGTGGCAGGAAATGTCAGCATAATAACTGTGATTACCATGGATTCTAAACTTCAAACACCCATGTATTTCTTCCTTAAAAACTTGTCCTATTTAGATCTTTGCTATGCCACAGTCATTGCACCCAAAACCATAGCCAATTTCTTGAGCAATGAAAAGAAGATTTCATATAATGGCTGTGCAGCACAATTTTTCTTCTTTGCCTTGTTTGTCACAGCTGAATGCTTTCTTTTGGCTGCGATGGCTCTCGATAGATTCTCAGCCATTTGCTGTCCTCTCCTTTACCCTGTGCACATGTCACACAAAGTTTGTGTTCAGTTGGTAGCTGGATCTTATATCTGTGGATGCATAAATGCAATAGTGCAAACAAGTTTCACTTTCAGTTTGCGATTTTGTCAAGAAAACAGACTGGATCATTTTTTCTGTGATGTCCAAGCATTAATCAAGATTTCCTGTGTTGATACCTTTGTAAATGAAATTGTGCTGCTTATTCTCTCTGCTTTCATTGTCATCAGCACCACAATAGCAATTCTGTTTTCCTATGTATACATCCTCTCCTCTGTCCTGAAGATTCCCTCAATCCAAGGCAGAAGTAAGACTTTCTCCACTTGTGGCTCCCATATAGCAGCAGTGAGTTTATTCTATGGAACTGTGTTCTTCACATATGCTCAGCCTGGGGCCATCTCTTCACCAGAGCAAAGCAAGATTGTAGCTGTATTCTATACACTTATAATACCAATGCTGAACCCTCTAATATACAGCCTGAGAAACAGAGATGTAAAAGATGCTATGAAAAGGATATTCTGTGAGAAATGGTGCTTTCAGTGACATTTAAAAAATAAACCATGAAGATTCAATGCAATCCCAGGGAAAATAACATCAACATAACTCATAGATCTAGAGAAAATTCTAAAATTCATCTGGAACTAAAAGAGAACTAGAATAGCAAAAGCGATTCTAAGCAGCACAGGCAAGGCAGGAGGCATCACAATCCCTGAATCAAAGTTATACTACAAAGCAACTATGGTAAAATCAACATGATACTAGAATAAAAACAGAGCTGAAGATCAATGGAATAGATTAGAAGATACAACCACAACTATAAACACACTCAACCACCTTATCTTTGATAAAGGGGCCAAAAATGTTCACTGGAAGAATGACAATCTCTTTAATAAATGGTGCTGGAAAAACTGGCTCTCCACATGCTGAAACTAAAACTAGACCATGCCTGTTACCATGTTCTAAATTAAAATCTAAATGGATCAAATATCTGAATATTAAAACAGAAACACTAAATCTGTTGGAAGACAAATTAGGTAAAAATGTTGAAGACATAGAGGTAGGTAAAGAGTTCATAAACAGGAATCAAACCTCACAAGAAATACTTCCCAGAATCAATAGCTGGGATTACATCTTATTAACAAGTTTCTGCATGTCAAAAGAAATCTCCATCATAGTGAAAAGAAAACCCACAAACTGGGAAAAAAATTTAGTGAACTGTCACTGACAAAGGACTTCTGTCTAAAATATATAAATAATTAAAAAAAATTCTGACCCACCCGGCCTGTGGAACTTAGCCCACTGCATGGCCTGGCCCACATTGTCCTGGCTCTAGAAAAATGTGGTTGTGGTGGGACACATGAGCCACCATCCCAGCCCAGCCTTGGAACCAGGCTGCCCCCTCCCACCGCCGTGACTGAAGGATGGACCCACGTACTGAAGTGGGAAGCACCATGAACGAAGAGTGGCTCACGGTGGAGCCATCAGGTATTATAGAAGACTCTCTGGCAACAGATATTTTTCTGTGGACTATTTTAATGAATTCCTAAGCCTTCCATTTATATCTTTTTTTATAGAGCTAATCATTTGGGTTTGAAGCATAATTAGGAGTTACTCTTACTGAAGAAAGCTGGAGCCTTCCTGGACATCAGAAAACATCCCTTACAGAACCTGACACAGTGGTATTTGGCACCATGTTAAGCCTTGAACAGAAATGATAAAGACAGAATAATAAAAACTCTAGGAAAGGACTTCTGGGAGAGCATGGTGGATAAATAACAGCAGCTATGGAAGCTCTCTGAGATAGCCAGCTTAAATTCCAGGAATGGTGCAGTGTGGGGAGTCCTAAGCATGGGGGGATATACCCTGCCAACCCAGGAATGAACTAAGCTGAGAGAAACCAACTGGAAATGCAATCCTGGTGCTACAACTGGAATAGCTAAAATCTCAGTGCTGAAACTGGAACCTGCACCTCTGGAAACCGCAGCTTGAATTTCTTGCCACCACTGCTGCATCTGAATCAGCACATGCAGGGATAGAGACACAAAAGCTCTGAAAGTGGGAATTGGCAAACCAAATTGAGAGCAGAGCTGGGGGGAGCCCTGCATCAACTTGTGGTGAGTGAGAGGCACTGGGACCCTTCCATAGACTAGGAGGCTCCAACAGAGGACATTCTGGGACCAGGCAGACTAGCAAAAACAGGACGCTGCAGAAACAAACTGTGACTGACAAATAAACTGGGCCTCCTATATATGCTTGTATGGAAGGAACAAAAAGTATGGGAAGAGGGAGCAAGAAGAAAGGGTCCTCAGCCCCCAATCCTGAGAACACTGATTTAGGAAAGGTAAATGCAAAGGAGAATGAGGATAGAAAACATGAAAAATTAGGCACAGCACCAATAGACATAAACCAATTCTTTGGGACCTCATAGATGAGTTCCAAAGCGAAGTATTTAACCAAGTAAAGCAAGATATAAGTAGACTAGTTAAAGAAATGCTAAGTGCCTCCTAAAAAAAAAAAAACAGATGGTGGAATGGAAGAACAGAAAAAAAGGGGAGAATTGTTTGATGGAGAAAATAGAGAAAACGTAGAGTACATGAAGCAGTTCAAAGAGATTACCAGGAAACTAAAAACTCTATTGAAAGCCGGCATAACAGCTTGAAAGAAACTAAGGATAGATTATCTGGAGGACAGATTTGTAATGTGGGAGCATGAAAGGAAAAGCATCTTAAAAATAACAAGGAAACAAGCAGTAACAATACAAAGGCTAGAAGATGATAAAAGGATCTATAACTTAATAATTAAGAATGTAAAGGAAGAAGCAGGGATACAAACAAATGAAATGCAAAGGCTATTCACAGAAATAATCAAGGAGAACTTCCATAATATGGGAAAAGGTAAAGATACTCAGATCTGAGGCATACAGGATCCCAGCCACCTACAACCCAAACAGAACTACACTCAGGCATGTAATCAAAATTCCAGAAATCCAATATAAGAACAAAAATATTAAAAGCTGGGAGCTGGAGATTTAGCTCAGTGGCATAAGCGCCTGCCTGGCAAGCAGGCAGTCGTGAGTTCGATCCCCGGTACCGATAAAAAGGAAAAAGACCAAAAAAAATATTAAAAGCTCTAAGAAACAAGAAACAGATCACTTACACTTAAAAAAATTAAGACCCACCTGGCCTGTGGAACTCATCCCACTTCACGGCCCAGCCCGCATTGTCTCGGCTCCAGGGTGACACGGGCATGGTGGGACACATGAGCCACTGGCCCGGCCCGGCCTTGGAACAAAAATATTAAAAGCTGTCAGAGACAAGAAACAGATCACCTACACTTAAAAATAAATCAGACCCACCCGGCCTGTGGAACTCAGAATTACAGCAGACTTCTCGGCACAAACCATCAAATCATGAAGAGCGTGGAGTGAAATAATTCAAACTTTGAAAGACAATAACTTCCAGTCAAGATTGATATATCCTGCACACCTGTGCCTAGAAATTAATGGAGAAACAAGGTGTTTCAAAGATAAAGAGGAATTAGGGGAATTTGCAACCACCAATTCAATTCTACAGAAAATACTGCAGGATATTCTAAAAGAGAAAAATATCAACATTCCAGAAACAGTGGCAGAGAGGCCACAATGAATGAAACAACGAAATGAAGAAGACAAACTGACACTAATGATAGAAAAAGAGCTCAACAGAAATGAGGCAGAGAAGGTTGAGTGGTATGAACAGCTATTTTGGAGAAAACAAGACATAATAGCTAGTGCTGATTTAATGTCATCTTGTTTTGAAGTCCATCAAGCTTTTGTTCTTCTGTCTCCATCAATCTTAACATGTTGTATCTTATTGGATTTTATTATATGTGATAATTTAAACAAAAACTTTTATAGATAAGAAGATAATACAGAAATCATTGTTCATTTTCTGTTAGTTGGTTCTAAATACCCTGTAATACGGTCATTCTCATGAATGGTTTTACATTGTCTTGGTATGTTTGATGCTACAGTATACGAAGTATACTAAAAGATTTCAAGGAAAGAGACACTATGGTAACTACTTTTATGTCAGGATATCTTGTGGTGAAACACTATTTTGCTGAAATGGTTATGTTCTGACCTTTGCTGTTTTGGAGTTACGTCCTCTTTTATCTCAATCTCTTTTTTATGATTTATTATTTATTTTTATCTTTTTAACTAAGGGGAAAAGTAAATTAAAAAATAGCAGGATATATTATAGTAACCCACTTTAATTTCCTATTAACTTGACTTGAAACCCTGTATTGCTTTCACCATCTTGTTTCACTGATTTTACTCTAATATGTTTTGCTTGATAGTACCAAGTTTGAGAGTATAGGCAACAACTGTGAAGACAATAAAGTTCACTATGATGCCCTTTCTGGTTTGACTATTATCTTCTTTTGAAGTCTTATAATGTCTCCAAATTTTGGTTTTATTGGTTTTGTTCTTTACTGTTTAGTTCAATTTTATTATAACAGATGATATAGGCAATTCTTTTTAAGATAGCAAGAGGCATAATGGTAACCATTGTTGATCACTTTGTATTCTGTTTTTACATTATGTACTATGTCCATTTTGATGTGAATGACTCTGTTTTGTTATGTCACATTTGGTTTTATTCTCTTAAAAAAAGTAATAAGAATTGTGGGAGTAATAAAACCCAAAATGTGTAATTGTCATTGTACAAAAGAGAGGAAAAGAAAGTGCTCTAAATGATATAACTGCATGTTTATTTAAGTGTATAAGATAAATAATCATATTACTGAGTTTTTGTTGGATCATTGAACAGAACTGTTTGCAAGCACACTGTTTGAATGTCCAATTTATATGCTTTAATTTTGTAACTTGAAAAATTATTTCTAAGATGACAATATGTAGTCTATTAACTAGTGATTTCCTACTGTTTATTTTTTTGAAATTCTGTATAACTTGTACCCTTATTCTGTTCTTTTCTTTTTACCCTTAAATAAAATTAAAAAAAAATCAGGCCCTCAAAATTCAAAGACCCAATCCAAAAATGGGCATCTGAGATGAATACACAGTTCTCAGATGAAGAAATACAAATGGCAAATAAATACGTGAAAAAATATTCATCATCATTACTCATTAGAGAAATGCAAATTACAACCACACTGAGATTCCATCTCAGTCCTGAAAGAATGGCCAGGATCAAGAAAACCAACACGAACAAATGCTGGAGAGGCTGTGGGGGGAAAAGGAACGCTCCTGCACTGTTGGTGGGGGTGTAGACTGGTGCAGCCATCATGGAGGTCAGTCTGGAGATAGCTCAGAAAGCTGGGAAGTCCTATTTGTTCAAGCTATTCCACTTCTATGCATATTCCCAGAAGAACTGAAAACATCATACCACAGTGATATATGTGCACCCATGTTTATAGCAGCACAATTTGTAAAAGCCAGATCTTGGAAACAACCTAATTGTTCATCAACTGAGGAGTGGACACAAAAGCTGTGGTATTTTTATACAAGGGAGTACTACTCAGCTATAAAGAAGGGTCACATT